TATATATATATATATATATTATAATATAATATATATAGTATATATATAATATATATATATATATATATATATATATATATATATATATATATATATATATATATATATATATATATATATATATATATAACACACGACACACACACACACACACACACACACACACACACACACACACATACACACACACACACACACACACACACACACACACACACACACACACACACACACACACACACACACATACACACACACACACACACACACACACACACACACACACACACATACATATATATATATATATATATATATAATATATATATATATATATATATATATTACATATATAAGTATATATCTAATTATTTATTTGTATATCAATATATCCGTATATCTATACATCAGTATCTATCTGTCTATCTATCTATCTATCTGTCTGTCTGTCTATGTATATATATATATATATATATATATATATATATATATATATATATATATATAAATAAATAAATCTATCTATATATTTGTGTGTGTATGTATCTATATATATGACATTAACCACTGCATACGAAATTTTGGTCCAATCGATCGTTACTTGAAAGCCATCCACACAAACACGATGATCAGACAGCTGCGAACTCTGCAATGGTGACCAAAACTCCATCTGCGTCTGCTATGGAGAATCGGCCGTGCAAACTCCTGCTCCACTAAAAGATTGATTACTAAACCAGAAAAATACGGAATCAACTCTCCGGTCCTTAAGATCTACACAGTTCTCGATGGTGCTTCATCTGACAGGTGTTCCTTTGGGTACTGCTTCTTTAAGTATGAAAAGTATAACATGCACTTTAATAAGGAAAAGATATAACATGATGTCATTCAACCACGAGCGCTTATTCATCATAAATCAATATCTGCCATCCATCACAATACACAAATACCTTTAATATACGAAACGTTTGCCAACGTTGGCAATCCAGTGTGATAACATCCGTAACAAATAAATACTCACAATTTTGGCACAAGAACATGCCATATACGACAGGCAAACATGGATTCGCTTTGTATTCGGATATAATCAGAATAACAAATAATAATTCATGATAATCAAATAGACATTGGCAGCGAGGAATGCTAAACTGTTAATAGTGTAGAAGGTCGCAGCACACACACAAACACACACACACACGTATCAGACGACTGAACGTACCAGATCAGCAAAGACTTTTTTCATCAGCGTATTGATTCCTCGGAACATCCCTACCCCTGGACTCTGTTTGCCCTGGTCTTTCCACTTCAGGAACTATGTGTCGAAAAGGCGCCTTGTACTTTGAAACGGATATTCGTATTGTCGTTATCATTGTTTATCAGCGTCCTCGTGTCTTATTATTTATGTTGTGATCATAACCAAAGCTTCATTACTATCTAACAATATATGATACGCTGTAATATATATGAATTGTACCATAAGTAACGTTTTACATCCTGCAGGAGATGAAGTGAGGGTCCGGCAGGCAGGGACGGGATCTGCTGCCATGTGTGAGAACCTCCCAACAGTCTCTGAGGATGATCTGCAGCTGACCAGGAGGGACGATTTGGGGATCTCCTGCGCCGAAAGACATCAACAGGACCCTCAGGATCCCTCCCCTGACGGCTGTGACCTCCATAAGGATGACCTGACTTCCGTCAGCGTCTACCACGGAGCCTCGGCTGTCCTTTCAGTGCCGGACCTCCCTCATATAGAGTCCTTGGAAGCCCTGCAGCCTCTACAGTGCTTCTCCCAACAGGCATTGTGTCCTCAGGAACCGGGGGTGTACGCCCTTCTCCCGCAGGATCCTCACGTTCCTGCAGCTATGACCTACCAAGCTTCCGAGGTCACACACGTTCAGGCTGTGACCTCGACAGTGGCCATCCAAGGCAGGGCCAAAGAAAGGAAGAAGAAGTGTAAGTTGGCTGGAGCTTTACCTCCGAGTGGTTTTCGTTAATGCCGGCAAATCTTTAAGTAATGTGCTCGAAGATAATCGGCTTCACTTCGGTGGTTGTTATAATATCAAGAACAACAAACATCGCATTACAATACTACTGCTACCACGACTACTACTGCTGCTACTACAATAATGATAAAAATAATGGTAATAATAATGTTAATAATATAACAATAACAGTAAAATGAGAGAAAAAATAATGGTAATAATAATATCGAAAATATTGATAATAGTGATAATGATGATAATGATAATAATAAAACAATAATGGTAATGGTAATCATAGTAGTAGCACTATGATTACTTTAAAGTACTATAATAATAATAGTAATAATGATATTAGTAAGAGTAACCTTAATGACAATAATGACTGATAATGCTAATGATAATAATAATAAAAAACTGTCATGGCAATGATAATAACAATAACAATAATAACAGTAATAATGATAATGACGATGGTAGCAATGATGATAATCATAATAATGATAATTATCATAATTATCATTATAAAAATGGTATTGATAATAACATCAATAATAAAGATAATGATAGCATTGATAATGAAAATGATGATAATAGCAATTATGAAAATTATAATGATAATGATAATGATAAAATTGATGGCAATAACGATGAGGATAACAATAAGAAATCGTTATCAGTAATACTGGTATTGTCATTTTTATTAGTAGTATATATTAGTAATAACAACTAGGATAATCATAGTTGGTGATGAACATAATAACAGTAATGATAATAATGATAACAATAGTAGTAACATGATAATGATAAATATGATAATAATAACAATGATATTGATTATGATATAATAATGGCAATGATAATAATAATGGTAATAATAATAGTGATAGTAATACTATAGTAGTAGTAGTAAAAATATCAATAATAGTAATGATAACAATGATAATAATAATAACAATAATATTAATAATAATAATAATAATAATAATAATAATAATAATAATAATAATAATAATAATAATGATGATAATGATGATAATGATGATGATGATAACAATAATAATCATGATAATAACAATGACGGTGATAATGATAATGATAATGATAATAATAATGATAATAACAAATATAATAATAATAATAATAATAATAATAATAATAATAATAATAATAATAATAATAATAATAATAATAA